TTTTTGTGTGGGGGGGGGGGGGGGGGGGGGAGGGAGTCTGGATCTAGTCAGTGGAGAGCAGAACCAGACACCACCCCTGCAACTGTGCAGCAGTGGGGACATTCTTATAGTGATCTATTGCTGGCTACAATCAGCCTGCAATAGATCACTATAGTAGTAATCTACTGATGTAGGTAGAGGTTGGACAGAGCTCCAACAGCTCTGCCTGAGCCTGCGTACCACACAGGAAATGAGGTGATGTCACTTAATGGACACGTAATGCCACTGCACTACCAATGTGAACACTATGTGGAAGCATAGTGTTGACATTTACGCCTACAGTGTGATCTGATGGACCGATCTGTAGAAGCATCAGAAGTCCAGGAAATAATCATTTCATTCAATTTTATACGTGTATGGCTAGCTTAAGTTGGCCTCCTTGAAAACAATGCAGTGGTGTGGAGGATATTTTCTCTCAACAGTTATTAAGCAAAGAAAGAAGAATTATTATAGTGACTAATCTACTGTGCCTCTGAAAATGCAATATCTGTATGTCAAATATGTCCCTTCAGGTAACCTTGGGGGACAATATCACAAAGCAACAGTGCCTTTTTTTTTAACAGGCCCACTATATACAGTATGTATACTGTATGTGTGTGTAAACGTGATAAACAAGTATCTTTCTCAAAGTAGGAAAAAACTATTCGCTTTTTCTGAACTCCAGGCAGAAATAACAGCAAATAAAGCAGTTAAAACATTCATAAAAAATAATTGACTGTATTTTTAAAAATAACAAGTACCTAAATTTGTGTCAATATCATGATCTTGTATTAACCTATACAGTCTTAGCAGCACTCAGAGTAGGAGAGTATAGATACACACAGAAATGTTGGCGATATAGTGCCTTAAGGGTACTGTGAGTTGTCTTTTCTAATTATTTAGAAGATGTGCAGAGTGTCCAAAATAAATCCATAACCACTAAATACTATAGTGAATTATGATAAACTGTCCACTGAGGAATACCCCAGCAACACCTGTGATATAATATTGGTTTCCATAGTAATGCAGTGGTCTTTTTGTTTTACCTAATTATTCCACTTTGATGTATTCCTGCTTGTCACACAAGTGGCCAGGAAAGATCTCATCTGCTAAACCAACATATGAAAATGATGTCTACTTGCACTGTGCCAGCTTCAGTAATTGTGGTTTACAATTACTAGAATAAAAAAAGATTGCTTGGTGCATTTTGTTTAATATCGCAAAATAAATATAATGATATTAAATTAGGGAAATGTGTTTCTCTTTATGGCATTTTTTTAAATTTTAGAATGTTTTGTCTCTTCCTGCATATAAAATAAAAAAAATGTAACTACTGGCCAAGCATATGTTGGCTATTTTACAGCAGTATCTGGTACAAAGTTTTTTTATACTTTTTTTTTTTACACCATTAATATAGTATTAAGAACATGTACAGCACCTTATGTTATCCTAAACCTGGTAAAACAGTTGCACACACTTATTTGATAGTTCTGTATAACTGCTTTAAACGGTTTTGATGGAAAACTGCCAGCCATAGTAGTTTAGCAATGTCTAAAGCCGCATTGAATAGTTACAGGTTTTTATGACAAAAGGAAATAATGGCTTATTTATTTAAAAGTATACCTGCAGCAGGAAAAAAAGCTAAGCAAACTGTTTAATAGTAGACAGTGTTAGACTGTACCTTTCTGGTAATGATAATCCTCCAGAGCAGCTGCAATGCCTCAAAATGTTCTGAGGGCTTCTGGGTATAGGAAGAGAAGGTTCACCACATCCTACAATAAGCCCTCATTCACACCTGAGTGACAGCGTCTTCGCATTTAGAAACACTCGTTTTGTGTAGCACGTTTTTGCACATTTTTATTCGTAAAATGCACATACATACAGTTGTGCGTTTTGGCAAGCAGATCGTGGCACATTGATGTGAATATACAAACGTGTGTTTTATGCGCGTAAAAATGTGCAAAAGCAAAACAAATGCTCATGTACTTTCTTCAAGTGACGGGCATTTTGCTACAAGTGACAAAACGCTCAGATGTGAATGTGGCCATAGAATTTAAATGGGTTTGTTTTTCAAGCAGTCTGAGCAACCGTATTAACAACATGCCCAAGCACTGCTGTGTGTGTTTTGGACAGGTAGCGTGCCTATGTCTATGTAAATACCAGGCACAGGCTTAAATTTTGTTCACCTATATTATATTTATCTTGGGCAGGACTTTACTAGCATTAAAACATTTTTTTCAAAGACAAAAAATAGACCTTTTTGTACACAGGTTCGAGGTGGTAGCATGAGAATAATTTTTACCTAATGATTATTTCTACAGTATATCTTAACTTATGACTTCTTTCCCTATTACAGGTGTGCTAAACCTAGCAAAGAATAACAAAAGTCTGGAAAAACATGGCTGAAGAGACATGCAAATTATTTTGTTCCCCAGGCTCCTAGAAATTTTTAACTTTGTGTGCAGTGTAGCTTATACTCCCGGCTTATTCCAGCCATTAAGATGCTGTGAATAAGGCCGGTTGCCAGGATGAAGCGTACCCAGCAGTTACATAGATCAGTGACCTCTCAAAAATCGGAGGAAGCCAAAACTGGAAGGAGTAGCAGAGAATATAACAGGGAATGAAGCAACAAAAGCAAACCTGGACTTGGCAGCACTGGAGGACAACACACTAGTAGGTAACTCTGCAATTGTGTGCAAGCATGCAGTGCATATTTGAACATAGTGGCAAGAGCCCCCACTCAGTTGCCCTAAAGATCCACTTTAAGTACATGGAAAACCAAATCATTCCAGGAGTAAAAACGTTATCACCCAGAGCAATGTTTTGGCAATTTTTAAAAGTTTAAAAAAGTGTTGGTGGTAGGATGCCTTCGTCTGTTTGGCTCTTTTTGTGATTCAGATGTTGTGGACAATATAGCTGTTTCTACGCAGAGGCAGTGGGCAATTGTGCTTGATGTTCGTCAGGGTATTTTGTATGGTCATAAACTAAAATAAAATGCTTGAATTCCGGTATACATTGCTGTGCAGAATTTGGCCTCAAAAGTTACAACCAGAGGTGAGGTAAACAGAGGTGCTTATATGACAAGATGCTGCTTGAGGTATTCATTTGTCAAAAAAGAGGAGGTAAAACACACCATTAATGTGTTTCATGGCACATTTGGTGGCCACTCTATCAGAAAAGGGGTACAGCACACTAGACAATGGAAGGTACAGACAAGTTGACCAAATAAGATAAAATTAAGCAAATTACAGTATAACTACATTTCATGTAAT